CCAGTCTTTATATTTATAGTAACATAGTTTTTACTCATTTTCATCTTAATACTGTTTAACATGGTTGCATTGAGATATATCTTTGTTTACATTAAAGCATATGACCTGCAACAATGACATGAAATTAAAAATAAAAGTAAAGCAACAATAAACTCTCAGACAAACGTTTATGAATATATTAACAAAGTTGTGTCAAAGTGTGTATATCAAAATGATTACTGCATTTGCAGTACTGCCACTAAAGTGATAGCAGTAGCAGCAGCAGTAATTATTTTATTTTATTTTATTTTATGTCACCCATCTGTCTGGGTTGTCCCAACCACTCTGGGTGGCTCCCAACAAAATATTTAAAACACAATAAAACATCAACCATTAAAAAGTTCCTCATACAGTGCTTCCTTCAGATGTCTTCTAAAAGTCATATAGTTAGTTATCTCCTTGACATCTGCTGGGAGGGTGTTCCACAGGGGGGTGCCATTACCGAGAAGGCCCTCTGCCTGGTTCCCTGTGACTTCACTTCTCGCAGTGAGGGAATTGCCAGAAGGCCCTTGGAGCTGGATGGTGGGGGTGGAGGTGCTCCTTTAGGTATACAGGGCTGAGGCCATTTTGGGCTTTACAATAAATCCACATTAAGCAATGGGCTGCTTTAATATCCAAAAGGGAAGCCCAAGTAAGTCCAAGAAGTCCTTATTTCCACTATGAACATTATATCTGCATTCCCATAGTAGTGACAATTAAGAATTTGCAAGGAACATAGGAGGGACTGTCACTATAGCATCTCCCGATTTCCTCAATTGAAGAGCAATTTTTCAAACTCAGCACAGCTTAGACTCCAATGATCTGGTGATAACTGTATATATTGGCTTTGGCCAGATTCTACATTCAGCCCATTTGAACTTTTGGATTCTGACTCATCCAATGGGTGAGCTGGAGCTGTTTCTGATTAAACAGTGCTGGGTTTATACCAGGGAGAGTAATCTGCCTTCAGATGACAGCAGATGATAGCAAAATATTGTTTTTTTCTAAAGAGACATGTGTTTGATTTTAGAGGGAAAGCCAAAGCTCAGTGGTAAAACAGCTGATTTGCATGAAGTCGACGGGGATTAATTCCCAAATCAATCCCTGGAAACCTGCTGTCACCCAATGTGGACAATATTGAGCTAGATGGACCAAATGGCTTCATCTAAGACAAATTTCTATGATGCTGATGATCCAATGTGAGCAGAGAACCTCATAACACCCAGACCTGTTTTTCTCTTCCCTCCTTATCCCTTTATCCTTGTGTGATGTGTCCTTCTAGATTGTAAGCTTGGGTGCGGCACTTGTTTTGTTTTCTTCTTGTTGTTGTTTAGTTGTTTAGTCATGTCCGACTCTTCGTGACCCCATGGACCAGAGCACGCCAGGCACTCCTGTCTTCCACTGCCTCCTGCAGTTTGGTCAAACTCATGCTGGTAGCTTCGAGAACACTGTCCAACCATCTCGTCCTCTGTCGTCCCTTTCTCCTTGTGCTTCCATCTTTCCCAACATCAGGGTCTTTTCCAGGGAGTCTTCTCTTCTCATGAGGTGGCCAAAGTACTGGAGCCTCAGCTTCAGGATCTAGCCTTCCAGTGAGCACTTAGGGCTGATTTCCTTCAAAATGGATAGGTTTGATCTTCTTGCAGTCCATGGGACTCTCAAGAGTCTCCTCCAGCACCATAATTCAAAAGCATCAATTCTTCAGTGATCAGCCTTCTTTATGGTCCAGCTCTCACTTCCAAACATCACTACTGGGAAAACCATAGTTTAACTATACGGACCTTTGTTAGCAAGGTAATGTCTGTGCTTTTTCTTACTGACCCATATCTGGGAACTTTTCAGTGCTGAAGAGTAGCCTAAAGAAGGCTTTGAATGAAGGGCTGAATGAATATTAGTGCTGTCATTTATTTATACATTTGTGTATAGGGTCCTTTGCATATTATCACAAAGAAAGAGAGAGGTCTTTGCCTAAGGAACAATGTGGACAGTGCCCCCAGCAGCCTTAACTTAACTTACTAAAAGTTTGAAGGATTGAGCCAGGAGGAAGATCCATATGAACGGTTCCATCACCAAAAATGGAAGTGCACAAGGACCATATTCCCTCTAGGCCAGGCATGGCCAAACTTGGCCCTCCAGCTGTTTTAGGACTACAGTTCCTATCATCCCTGCCAATGGTCATGTTAGCTAGGGATGATGGGAGTTGTAGTCCCAAAACAGCTGGAATGCCAAGTTTGGCCAAGCCTGCTCTAGGCCAAGCCTTGGAGTGGATGTAATGGTTAGAAAGGACTGACACAACCCGAGACCAGGAAGAAGGGATGTTGGATAAAAATTAGAGATATTAAGAAAAATTTCTTTTTATTTTTGGAATTAGTGCAACATTAATGAAATATCAGGGAACATGCTGGAAAGGAACTAATTTGGCTTTAGTAAAAAAGATTTAAGGAGTTATGTATGAATATGGTTTAAATTTTGAAATTTTAAGGTTTTTAAGACAAGATAAGGTTAAAGAAATTAAGGTAAATTGAATAACAGAATATATTAAAAGATGGAAAAGATATGTTGAATTAATAAATAAGATAGATTGTTAAGATAAATTATTTAAATTAAAATTGAGAAATATGGGAAGAATTTGCTGGAATAATGAATTAAATTAGAATACAAAAAGGGAGGTGTGAGGAGGTTCAAGAAATAAGCAAATGAAAAGATGTAATTTGAGATTTGTATTTTTCTTCTTTTTTGGTTTTTCTTTTTATCTTATTTTTTTGTTGTATTTTTCTGTTTTTTTTTCTTTTTTCATACTTATGTATCCATGAAACTCTGAATAAATATCATTAAAAAAAAAAGCCTTGGAGGAACAGGAAGGATACATACCAACCGTGGGTACGGCCAGGCAAATGTTGGCATGGCCAAAATTAGTGTCAGCCACCTACGAACACAAACAGCATGCATGGATTCATTCTTATAGATGGTGATGCAATGACTAATGACAAAGATATATAGAGCTGGCTTTCTCTTGACTTGAGGATCGGGGGGGGGGGCTAAGAAGACCTTGTGGTCCTCCAAAAAGCTGTTGGACTCCAACTCACATGACCAATAAATTGCAAATGATGGGAGTTGCTGTCCGACAATATCTGGAGGGCAGCAGGTTGCCCAGCTCTGATTGAGGGATTATGGAATGGTGGTATTCTGTAGCGAGGAAAGTCTACGTTTCTTACAGAACTCTGATATTTAAAAATAAGGGATAACCTTTGACGAGAATAGATGCCTGGCAATCCCACCGTCATCTTAATATAGCTTGTTATGTTTGCTGTGTTAGATAAATATTAGCAAGAATATGCTGCACTGGCAGGAACACTCTGAGCCCAAGGCTTTGGCATAAATATAGAAACAAAACAACACAACAGGAGAGGCATCTGTGATCCATAACCTAAGATGTACAAGGGAAAGGCAGAAAATAGGCTTTCATTACAAGGCATTCCACATATATTCCATTCGCTCATGATGACACATAGTCTATATACAGAATGCCCTTACACTGCATGTTGCAAAGAGGTATGTCCCACTGAGTTCCACAGTACTTTGTTGTTGTTGTTGTTGTTGTTGTTGTTGTTGTTGTTGTTGTTGTTGTTGTTGTTTAGTCGTTTAGTCATGTCCAACTCTTCGTGACCCCATGGACCAGAGCACGCCAGGCACTTCTGTCTTCGTCTTCCACTGCCTCCTGCAGTTTGGTCAAACTCATGCTGGTGGCTTCGAGAACACTGTCCAGCCATCTCGTCCTCTGTCGTCCCCTTCTCCTTGTGCCCTCCATCTTTCCCAACATCAGGGTCTTTTCCAGGGAGTCTTCTCTTCTCATGAGGTGGCCAAAGTATTGGAGCCTCAGCTTCAGGATCTGTCCTTCCAGTGAGCACTCAGGGCTGATTTCCTTCAGAATGGATAGGTTTGATCTTCTTGCAGTCCATGGGACTCTCCAGAGTCTCCTCCAGCACCATAATTCAAAAGCATCAATTCTTCGGCGATCAGCCTTCTTTATGGTCCAGCTCTCACTTCCATACATCACTACTGGGAAAACCATAGCATAAAGGGCATACAGGATTGTAGTCTTACACCTTAAGCATTCGTGATTTCCTGTATGTGGGGCAAATTGACACATCCAAACTGTGTCAGATATTTAGCGAGATATGCAGGCGTGTAAATCAGTCTATATCTTTGCTTACCCATGTATGCCTATGTCAGCCATTTCTGGCATCGAGGTGGCCTGGAAAGGGAGGAAACATGACGTCTCCTGCTCTGCAAAATGCAGTCACCTAGAGACCACCGTTCAATCGTCACTTGTGATCAGGCAAGTGGCGCAGATCAGACAAGTCCTGCAGAAAAATTACATTTATTTGGCAAGCGTTCCAGTGTGGCATAACGGTTCGACGAGCAGAGTAGGATTTAGGAGATTCAGGTTTAAATCCCTATTCAGCCTTGAAGCTGAGCGATTTGGGGTCAGTTACCCTTTTGGCTCTATTTTACCTCACAGGACTGTTGTGATGATAAAATATGGAACAGGGAGAAGTCTTGCTACGCTGCCTTAAGCTCCTTGGAGGTTTTATGTGTGAGACACTGGGGCTCACTAGCCGTCTTCTTGTTTTTGGAAGTAGTTGCAGATATTCATAGCTAAATAAATAAAAACAGCTCTGTTTCTTTGCTTTCCTCCTAGCAACCTCGTAAAGAAAACACTCATTCCTTTCTTTCAACTTTCAACCAATCAACACCGTAGCGCTAAGTTTCTGTTTCCCAAGAAAAGGAATTTTTGCTACCCATTTCCTGAAAACCTGGGCAGCACCTTTGGTTTCTATTCCTCTGGGTTACTTTTGGTTTTCGTTTTTGGTCCCTGCCTCCACCTGCCCCTCAGGTACACATCCATTGCCACCTCCAAGCTCCTCGTCTGATCACACAACCAGACCACAACTCCTTTGCTAATATTGTCATTGTATTTCCAGGGTACCCAAATCTTGCAGCATTTGCAAAAGCAGCATCATTAGATCAGGAAGAGCAGTGTTCATCTGAGCTTCCTGCCGCTCCAGGAAGACTCTCATGCAGGTAAGTGCAGACAGTCCAAATATAGCAGCCATTATGAATACTAATCTCAGATATCACTCTAAACCTCTTACAGTGGTACCTCGCAAGACGAAAATAATCCGTTCTGCGAGTCTCTTTGTCTAGCGGTTTTTCCGTCTTGCGAAGCAACCCTATTAGCGGCTTAGCGGATTGGCGCTATTAGCTGCTTAGCGGCTATTAAAGGCTTAGCGGCTTAGCAGCTAAAAGGCTATTAGCGGCTTAGCGGCTTAGAAAAGGGGGGGGGACGGGGAAAAATCGCAAGATGAGTCCCCATAGGGAAAATCGTCTTGCGAAGCAACTCAAAAACGGAAAACCCTTTCGTCTAGTGGGTTTTTCGTCTTGCGAGGCATTCGTCTTGCGGGGCACCACTGTATTTATTAGTGTTTTTTTAATTGCATCTACAGTGGTACCTCGGGTTAAGAACTTAATTCATTGTGGAGGTCCGTTCTTAACCTGAAACTGTTCTTAATCTGAGGTACCACTTTAGCTAATGGGGCCTCCTGCTGCCGCCGCAAGATTTCTGTTCTCATCCTGAAGCAAAGTTCTTAACCCGAGGTACTATTTCTGGGTTAGCGGAGTCTGTAACCTGAAGCGTATGTAACCTGAAGCATATGTAACCCGAGGTACCACTGTATATCCCACCTATTCTCCAAGAAGTTGAAGGTGGTGTACATGGTTCTGCCCCACCTCAGTTAATCCCCCCACAACAACCCTGTGAGGTAGGTTCGGCTGAGAGCAGTGCGAGTGGCCCAGGGTCACCCAGTGAGCTTCATGGAAGATTTTAACTGTGGTCTCCTGGGTTCTAGATAAACACTCTGGCCACTACACTACTGGCACTTGTTTACTAGCTGAGTGTGCATGTGCCTGTGTACCTGTTATGTACTGAGTTGAATAGGATCCAAAATGCAGCAGTCTGATTGGTCCTAGAACAATAGGATCCAAAATGCAGCAGTCTGATTGGTCCTAGAACAATAGGATTCAGAATGCAGCAGTCTGATTGGTCCTAGAACAATGCAGCAGTATGATTGGTCTGCAGGAGCCACCCAATCCAGCTCCAGTTGGAAGTGAATCCACAACGTGATTGGCCAATCAGGTGCAGCCCATTGTGTAAATAATGTATATAAAGCAGATACTTTGGGGGAACATTCATTCCTCCTCACCACTATGAGCTGAATAAAGAGCATGAAATCCACTCTCGACTCTGAGTATATTTCAGTACATTAAAATAAATACAGACATACATTTAGGATTCCCATGCCTCCCCTAGGTGCTACCACTGACATGTTCCCTGGACTTCCCTTTAGCTTGTTCTCAAGCAGTATTTGGGGGCTGGGTCCAGCTGCCATTTAAATTTCCCAAAAGGCCTCAGACCACTGCCAAGGGCACTATGGGAAATTTGGCTAGACCAGTGCTTCCCAACCATGGGTCTCCAGCAGTTTTTGGACTACAACTCCCATCATCCCTAGCTAGCAAGACCAGTGGTCAGGGATGATGGGGACTGTAGTCCAAAAAACAACCGCAGACCCAAGTTTGGGAAACATTGGGCTAGATGGAACTGCCCAGCACACTGGTGCTGCCAGAGCTGTACTGGCTCCCTGGGATCCATGTTGGAAAAACGGACCACAGGAGGGCTCTGCTACCAAGACTTCCTCAAACCTGGATCTACCGGTACCCCTTGGTGGAACAATCCAACCATATGGCACACGCCACATGCAAAAATATGCTATATCTTGGGCTCCATCTGTATTACACATTTAAAGCCTCATCATTCCACTTTAAATAGTCATTGTCCCCCCCCCCCCGAATTCTGGGAATTGTAGTTTGTTAAGTTATTAGAAGACCCCCTGTTACATTTCTCCAAGCCACGATTCCCTGGGAAGAGGGACTGACTGTTAAACCACTCTGGGGGATGAGGAATAATTACAGTGGTACCTCAGGTTAAGAACTTAATCCGTTCTGGAGGTCTGTTCTTAACCTGAAACTGTTCTTAACCTGAGGTACCACTTTAGCTAATGGGGCCTCCCACCACCACTGCGCCACTGCCCTGCGATTCCTGTTCTCAACCTGAAGCAAAGTTCTTAACTATTTCTGGGTTAGCGGAGTCTGTAACCTGAAGTATCTGTAACCAGAAGCATCTGTAACCCAAGGTACCACTGTATTAGTTAGAAGACTGCAGTGGTAGTTTTTCACAAAGTAAACTGCTTGGCGTGTGATGTTTTAAAATCGCTTTTCCAGTGTGGTGTAGTGGTTAAGAGTGGTAGTCTCGTAATCTGGTGAACCGGGTTTGCGTCTCCGCTCCTCCACATGCAGCTGCTGGGTGACCTTGGGCCAGTCACACTTCTCTGAAGTCTCTCAGCCTCACTCACCTCACAGAGTGTTTATTGTGGGGAAGGAAGGGAAAGGAGAATGTTAGCCGCTTTGAGACTCCTTCAGGTAGTGATAAAGCGGGATATCAAATCCAAACTCTTCTTCTTCTTCTTGTAATTCTGGGGTAGTCTCCAATGAGTTGTGCCCTGGTAAGGCAAACATTGTGCCTATTTACTTTGCGGGTTAATGTTCATTGTAGGAACGGGTTCCAATCTGCAATGCTTCTTTGCCGTAATCCTGTCTTCCTGTTACAGAAGCAACTTTCTAAAATGGATAATTAGTCCATTGTTGTTAATTGTTATGTTTCTTATTGTAAGCTCTACCAGCAAGTAGACTTTATTATATATATATATATTTTAAAAAACGACAATCTGATTGTCACAGAACTGGTCTGCAACTGCTGTTTGCTTTGGCCGTTTGCTTAACAGGGTTAAGCAAGTAGGAAAGTTTATCGCAAGAGGACAGAGACCTGGCCTTGGCTTTAGGAAGCAAAGTTTAGGCAGGCCAACGGATCAGCCTCCTTTTCTAAACTACACTTGTCAGCACATTTTCTTGCTCATCATGAAGATTTTTTCTTAGCTATTTCATTTTTTTTTAAAAAAAGTTTATTTGGGTTTTCGGATTTACAAACAACCATATAGAAAACAAATAAGACAATGTCCATAAGGCCCCATTGACTTCCCTCCTCCCCTTTTGTGGGCCCTTATGTTAACTTTTTCTCATTCATCTTCTCTGGTAATCCAATTCTATTAAATCTTCAATAAAACCATAGTTACAGGTAGGTAGCCGTGTTGGTCTGCTGTAGTCAAAACAAAATAAAAAAATTCCTTCCAGTGGCACCTTAGAGACCAACTTAGTTAGTTATTGGTATGAGCTTTCGTGTGCATGCACACTTCTTCAGACACTTCTTCAGGTATCTGAAGTTTTATTTCAATAAAACCATAGTTCAACTTTTAACCATGAACGTCTTTCCAATCCTACTAATAACTGTAATTGTTTACAATGATTTTTTAAATAATTTTTTATATTTTCCCTATTCCTTATTGAAATTTTGGTCTTCCTGTTTCCTAATTCTTCTGGTCAGTTTTGCCATTTCTGCATAGTCCATCAGTTTAATCTGCCATTCTTCCTTGGTAGGGACTGTGCCTTCTTTCCATCTTTGGGCTAATAGGGTCCAGGCAGCAGTAGTCATGTACATAAAAAGTCTCTTCTGGTCACTTGGAATTTCGGCACATAAAATTCCGGAATGTGGCTAACACATGGGGCAGGAACTAAGCCTCAGATTCATCTGGATGTCTCACTTCTTCCCTATGTATCCATTTCCTAGATCTATCTAAATGTACATTGTGTATGGAGCCTTTAAAGCACATGACCCCATGGTTGTGGCACTGTGCTGGGCCCAGGGGTAAGCCGAGTAACGCGGTCCAGGTCCAGTCCCGAATCCAAGGGTTCCGCGAGGAGTCAGTCCGACAGGGCCAAGGCAGGACATGAGGCAGGGAACCAGGCAAGGTCAGGCACAGGATCACAGGCAGGTTCTGGCAAACAGCGACGTTGCTCCCGCAACCTGGGGCAGGGTCCGACAGCCTTTTATCTCTGTCGGGGTAACGGTCAGTCCTGATCCCCCAGTGAATCACCTCCCTGTCTCGCCCGAAGGCGAGAACTCCTTCTGTGAGTGCTCAGGTCTCTCTTTCTCTCAGACCTCAGTCTCTGCAGCTCGTGAGACGTCGGTGAGTTACTAGACCCAGAGGCCGCCTCAGCCTCTCCTGACCCAATTGGTAGCGGAGCAGCTGTAAGTGATTGCCCAGCTGGAGGCAACGAGGTAATCCCCGCATCTGGAGCCAGGGCAGGCTCAGGCCCCTGACTCGGCCCAGCTGGTGTTTGTTGCAGGGGAACCTGTGCAGACTGGGGCTCTTCAGAATCAGGCCCCAGACTAGGTTCAGATGCCACCTGGGGCAAAGGATCTGGTGCGGACTGAGAATCCTCTGGCTCCGAGTCTGAGCCCGAGTCCCAGGCCATCACATCACCCAAGGATGGCTGCATTGCAGGGGGTGGCCTAGATGACCCTCAAGGCCCCATCCCACTCTACAATTCAATTCTATGACTTATAATCCATTCATTAACCACTTGCTGTTTATCAACCGTTTCTGTGCGGAGCCCAAAGCTATTGCTCTAGGGACGCTATCACACCAGAAACCCAACAAAGGAACACGATCTGTTGGAGTTCCATCTTGTGAGCACCCTGTAAATATGAATAGAAGTATATTATCACAGAGGCACACTGTCTCCAGCAAACTTCATTGCAAGGACAACCAAACTCAAGGTATGAGTTTGCACCTCTGAAATCTGTTACCACTCAGAAGTTGGGTATGTGCGTGACAATGACTGATATATTGCGGCTAACGGGAGTTCGTTAGAGACCGAGCACAAACGAATGGCATGAAAGCAACTCAAACACACTCAAAGGAAGAGCATACAGAAAGATTTCATGCATTGGTCAATATCCAATATTGACTAGGCAAAGTACAAACCCTTAATCTGAGTCCACATTCCTCACCACTGCCTAGAGGCGATG